CCTTTTATCAGATTTGGCCACCGAGATCTCCGATAAGCATAAAGCGCGTGTATTTAAGAGCCATTTCGATATGTGATATGAAAAACTCCAGCTACATTTAGTTGCTGGATAAGGACAGCAAAGCAGCCTACCTAGCTTGGCCAAACATTAGGCTGGAACCAGCGCCTCAGTCTGAACCACCTTTTCCTTTCAGAAAATTTGCCTTTCTTACCACATTTGCGAGTGGCCCTGCTGGCTGTCCCAGCCCGAGCCAGGATGCCAGAGATGGATCCGTCAGTGAAGTATGGGATGAATTTGGATCCACTCCCAGCTGCAGCCTGTGACGCTCGGGGCCCTTGGTGGTTTAGGTCAGCGTCGCTCTCTGGTTTCCAGACATCAGCAGCCGCTGAGGTTTGGGGATTAGGGGAATGTTTACTACTTCAAAACAAAGGGAAACCATTTCCATGTAAAGCTGATGAACAATGAAGACAGCTGCGATCAGATTAGATCCCCTAAATTACTTGAGATCATTGGGTAGATTCTTCTTGCTAGAAAGGGCAGATCAAATTTCCTAATAAACCCCTTTTTTCCTATCCCTGCGAGTGTCTCGTGTTGTCCATCTGCCCCCCTGCCGACAAGCCAGCAAGAGGAGCGTTTCTTTTCTGCCATGCCCTGCTGCAGACCTTTAGAACTATCATTAAGATTTCATTACGTAAATATTTTGCCTGATACTTTATCTCATATTACATGTAATTTTTATCCTTGGAACACTGTGGTCCACTTAGCCAGATGGAATACGCGGCGCCTGCTAAAGAAAATGGGAAAGCAGGGTTGGATCAATGGGTTTCTGCTCCTGCAAGTGGCAAATATTTTCAAGCAGTTTAAGCAAAAGGTGTTTTCTGATTGCATCCTGAGCAGCCTTCAGAAAAAGGTTAATTCTGGCACATTTTTGAGAGATGAATGTTGCTCAGACTAATAGGTAAGAGGATGGAAGTTGCTGATGTCTCTGCACACTGAACCCACATAAAGGTTTGCTCCAAAAGGCACCTACGAGCCATTTTGGTTTGGGGTTTGAGTCAACAGCTGTGATTTTCACCTGCATCCCCAATAGCGATGTGCCAGCCTCTTGGTTTTCCTCGAAATCCCATGGCTTCTTCCCAAATCCTGCCCTACACAATTATAATACAAGGCACAAACGCTTTGCATCAGCCCTGGGACATGGAGCAGGGTGAAGAGCAGTTGGGGACTGCGCAGCCCACCCCCCCTCCCCTCACACTCCCCCCCATCCCCCCATGAGACACATCCCATGTGCTTTATGCACAGGCACCACCAACCCGGGGACAGGGCTCCTCGTTGCCACAAAGAGCTCTGCAAAACCCATCCCCAGGTGGCTGCTCCATGGTAAATTCCTTCGGACAACTGGCTGGTGCGTGAAAAGATCGACAATGACCCCCAAGCTCCTTCCTCCGGGTACCGCCCCAGGGCAGATGGGGAAGCTGTGCCAGGTATCCACGCACCACGGGAGAATCACGAGGGTGATCTCGTGGAGACTGGCTCCAATTCTGGTGCTGGAGCCTCAGGGGCGTTACCTGCTGCACAGGTCCTTCAGCCCTTGCTGCTCAACTGCATAGGGATTTGCGAGCTGGGACTCATCCCCTACCCAGCACAGGCTGGCTGTATGGTAGACATCACCCCTCCTGTTCTTCAACCTTTTTTTTTTAACTAACCTGTATTAAAAATGCTGAGCGTAAAAGCTTTCTGCCTGATACCATGCAACACCAGCAGAGGTACAAGTCTCCCCGAGTAGCAAGACAGGGATAACTGATGTTAACTGAGCATCCTGCAGCCTCTTGCTTGCTGTTTTGCGTCTACTCCATGGCAGTTTTTCCTATGACCTGAAAGCCAGGCTGGTCATTAACACTTACAAATATCTCTAAGGGTGGGTGTCACGAGGATGGAGCCAGACTCTTCTCAGCAGTGCCCAGCACCAGGACAAGGGGCAATGGGCACAAACTGAAACAGAAGAGGTTCCAGCTGAACGTGAGGAAGAACGTCTTTACTGTGAGGGTGACAGAGCACTGGAACAGGCTGCCCAGGGGGGCTGTGGAGTCTCCTTCTCTGGAGATATTCAAAGCCCACCTGGACGATGTCCTGTGCACCCTGCTCTGGGTGAGCCTCCTTGAGCAGGGGAGTTGGACTGGGTGAGGGCCCTTCCAACCCTTGCCATTCTAGAATTCTGGGATTCTGTGACTTTCCCAGTGTCCTTGGAAAGAAAGAGTTGGCCAGAGATGTCCTGACCCAGAAATTCATCACACAAATGCACCTGAGGGTGGGCAGGAGGGACCCTGGTGCTGGTGAGCGCGAGCCAGAACATGATCTACCTTCATCCATCAGCTATCTGAAGCAAACCAAAGCACTCTGATTTCACCTTAGAACAATGAAAATAGCTAAAAACCAATAATGAAGCAAATAACAACCAGAAGAGATTTGCAATAAATCCTGAAAGGCAGAAAAGTATGATAGGAAATTTGCATTTTCCTACCCTTTGCTGAGAAACGCTTTCATGATGTGCTTGCCCTGACCATCTGCAATCACTCACAACTGTAGAAACCAGAGCACCTATAGAGACCAGCAACACCTGAGAAACCAGTAACGAAACTCAGGGCTTTCAGTGTCCATCTGAGCGCAGCAAGACCTGTGGGTGCTTTCTTAGCAATGTCAGTTTAGCAGCAATATCTGCTAGGGCTGGAGCTATGGGCAGCGACTCCTTAAAAAGAGACTTCCAGCCTAGAGCAAGAAAAAAAAATGCTTATCCTGAGCCAAGTAGCTATAAAAACCCAGCGCAGGAGTGCAGGCCCCCATGTTTTGTTGGGGAGAAGCTCTTCGCACCCACTTTCAGGGACAAAATATAAGGAAGATACTGGGAAATTAGTAATTTATAAATAGTTTATCCATTGCTTTGGGGGCTACAGCTCTGCCTGCAGCTGGGCTTGTGCAAGGCTGGAGACCTCGAGCACTGTGTTATCCCACCTGGGGGAAGGAGGGATGTTCTTCAGGAGAGCAGATAGATTCCTGAGTACAACAGAGGCTCAGAGGAGCGGAAAATAAATGGTGGGTGGCTTGGTGACAGTGAGAGCCGGGTGTAGGTGCTGTGGCCGTGCTGCTGCCACAGGGTTCTGCTCCCTCTGCCCCTGTGCACTGGCGCTGGGGTTTTTATTTTATCTTCTGGGTGATCTGCAAGGGAGACATGTGGAGGTAAAATGGACTGATCTCCTGGAGACGATGCAAAAAAAAAAAAAAAAAAAAAGGGGGGGGGGATCAAAGGAGACAAACTGGCACTTTCATGTCCTTGTTTTCCCAAACACACTTCAGCAGCTGGGTCTGAAAACAAGGGCAGGAGCATTGCATGGCTCAAAAACCTTTGGCTGCTTGAAGGACAGTCCATATTCCTTTGGGATATGGCTGGCACCGGCACCCTGAGCAAAGATGCCCCAAAGGGCCATTTGTGTCACTAAAACTGAGACCTTTGCATCCAGATGGAGCAGAAGCCACGGCCCCAGGACATGCTCAGCCGACCAGGGCACAGCGTGGGCTTGTGGAGGCACGTTTGAAGCCGAATCTCAGCGGAATTGTTTTTTCCTCTTATCTCCGTGGAGGGTTTATTCCTCGGAGTGTACGAGCCGCAGGAAGGAGGCAGCTTGGGCTGGACCAGCCCTTCCCGCAGCGGAAATTTTGGCAGGAGCCAGCTGCTTGGCTGGATTTGTTGCAAACAAGCGCCAAAGGGTCTCAGGTTTGCAGCCTGGTGGAGCTCACAGTTTTCCACCTTGTTATTTTTCCTTCTTTCTGGAGCATGAGATTCAGCTCCTGGGGGCTTTTCAGGGTTTTGTGCAAACTATCTTTCAGATTGGGGTTTTTGTGGTTTTGTTACGCCCACCTCGAGTTTTATTTGAGAAGGGCACAAAATACAAAGTGAGTAATTGGCCAAACCCAGTGGGTTTTGCCTGGTTTTAAGCCAACATTTTTCAACCCACCTGAATACATAAATCGTCTCAGTTGTAAAGCTGGGCTGTAAAAGCAGAGGCAGTTCATTCATTTTCTTATACGTTCAATACCATCGCAGCAGGGGAGTGATTCTGCCCCAAAAATCGCCTGTTTATGTCCACTGAGAGCCCGGGGACTCTGCCCAACCTGCTCACAGGGAGACGCCCCGCAGACATGAACTGGGACAAACAACGCCCTCCACCAGGCACTCGGCAGCCCCCCAAATGTTTTTAAACTAAAGGCGCAATTCCGTAAAGCCGGTATCATGATATTTAAGGTCTGACCCATGCTCCTGATAAACTTGGGGTTCTGCTATTTAGTGCCGAGTATCCCCTGAGTCCAGTTATTGCAGGGAAAAGTTCAATCCAAATGCAACACCAACGTTGCACAGAGAAAAGCTTCAAACACAGCTCTGGGAGGGATGTTCCAGGCACAGGTACAACACAGAGGAACTGGGAAGACACAGCTTGTACCTCCAGGAGATGTTAAGCTCTCGGCATCTGACAGTGTTTATAACTCGGGAGATATAAATTCCACTGCCAGCTTTGAAAGAAAGGAAACAAGGGCGGAAGGACGTGCCTATGCTGTCAGTTTTTATTGTTTCATTTCAACTTCCATGAAATTCCGTATTTTTCTTAAAGCTGCAGCTCATGGGGTTGTAAGGCTATACAAGAAACTCATCTCTCGCTCTGAGATTCTTCTCTAAACCTCATATTTGCATAGAAAATGTGACCCCCAAAGGGGAATATTAAAGACAAAACTGTTCAAATGATTCAAACTTATATTTTCTAGGGAAAAGGGGTGGGACTACAGACTCTACCCATCCAATCTCGTGTTGAATTTCATGGGACACAGAGTACTCCAGCATTGCACTTTTTAAACCAAAAGAGATGGGAACAAGAGTCCTCCCTACCCCAGCCACACGCAGCCATGCACAAGAGCTTTCCAGCTTGGTAGGACCTGATGACAGGGTAACTCACGGTGGAAGAGACTTCGGTAGGTCACGCCGCCCAACCTCATTTTTTCCACGGGTTGCCTTTGCTCCTCTCTGCCAGGACGCACCGAGCATGGCTGGGGCAGCTTCTCCTTGCTTCAGGCTGCAGCCTCACGGGTGCTCCAGGCTGCACTGGCTGCACGATGGGCTCCGATGGCAGCAAGGTGGAGGACTCCAATGCCCATCCGCTGCAGCGCAGCCGGCAGGTCTCTAAGGATCAGCTCTATCAACCCAAGGAGCTGGGTGAGCCGCTCTGGTCCCTCATCCAAGCGGCTGCCGGCAGCTCCGAGCCACCTCAAGGGGCTTGGATGCTCCGGGGGCGATCACCCCTGGTCAGGGTTGAAACCCATCACTTTGCAATGACAGCCCAGCTATTTAGGGAAAGCGCTTCTCATTTGCCCCGACCCTTTTTCCTCCTGACAGCATCCTGTCCTGCGACAGGGAAGGGCTATTCTTAGAGACGTCTATTTTGGGTCGGAATGCCGGAATTAAGATCCTTCCTTCCTTTAAAGAAAACACGCCAAAAGATATTTAGAAGGCTTCACCCCCCGTTTGAAGGCTATATTCTGGCTGCTGAGCAAAGCAGATTTGTTTGTTCGCTTAACATTTACTGGGGGCTGGGATGTACCAGGAGCCGTGGGCACCACCTGACCAACCCTCCTGAGGCTCCGGGGAGGCAGGCAATATTTCCTTTAACGTGCCGAGTAGCTGCCACGGGGTTTACTCATTCCCTCTTTCCTGGCAATGCTGTGTATCGGCTTCAAATAGATTTAGTAAAATATTTTCCATCAAAACCTTTTTTTTTGACAGAAAACGCCTTTTGGACACAATGGAAACTCTTGTGGAGAAGAAAAATGAAAATAAAACCAGTTCAGCTGATGTTGGAGACCTCTATTAGAAACCCAGAGTTGTTTTCCTCCTTGAAACTTTTTGGGGAAGGTACTGCTGATGGAGAAGACGCTATTTTTTCCAAGGTGAATACAAGTTTGTTGCGGAATTATCAGAAAGGTTCTCACACAATTATCACTCCTGGACCAGGAATCACTTGCAAGTGGGTGAATCTGATAGCAGCAGCTCCCAGGCAGAGCTGGGAGGGGACCCTGGGGACATCTCTTGGCCTTACGGCAGCATTCACTGCCCCAGCACGGGTCCCCTACCCCTGCTGAGATCCGGCAGGAAGAAAGAGTCCCACCGACCGCTTTTGCCTCCAGGCCGGACCCCAATGTCCCAGGCTCAGGCACCGCAGCCTCCAGGCTCTCCTACCCCATCCTGGGGCAACAAGGCAACTCTGTTCCTTCTACATAACAACGCTCAAAGCCTCAGCCCAGGATGAAATGCACGTTTCCTCCCAGTGATAGGTTGAGGGGAAATGGTCTGAAGTTGTGCCAGGGCAGGTTTAGGTTGGACATTGGGAAAAATTTCTTCCCCGCAAGGGCGGTCAAGCACTGGAAGGGCCTGCCCAGGGAAGGGGTCGAGTCCCCATCCCTGGGGGTATTTAAAAGCCGGGCAGATGAGGTGCTTAGGGCTTAGATTTAGTGGTGGGATGGCAGGGTTAGAGGAATGGTTGGGCTTGATGATCTCAAAGGGCTTTTCCAACCTAAACTATTCTATGATTCTATCCCCCAGGCTACCGCCGGCTACAGGGCTGCATGGTAGATGTTCAAAGGTGTCTCAAATGCCAAAATAAATGTCACAGGTAACTGCAGTAAGATTTTGGGAAAACTGTACAAAAGAATACATATTCACCCTGCCTTTCAAGTCTGTTATCCCGAGGACCTGAAGGGTTTCTGGTTTTATACAGTGGTGGAGATGCTGACGTAGCCACAGGACACCAAGAGCTGGGGGCTTGAAAGCCACAAACCCAAACATCTCGGTGCTCAACGTAAAATCAATTAGCTGATAGCGAAACCTTCCTTCAAAATGCCTAGATGAAATTACATGGCAGAAACTTAGAGGCAGCAAGTTTTGGACCAAGGAAGCAGCTGTTTGCAGGGGGGCTGTATCCAGCTGCTGTGATTCCCCCGCAGAAGCTGCCTCCAATCCCCACGCAGCCAGCTCGGCACCAACCCCGTAACGTGGCAGCCGGGGTTTGCCTGGCCCCAGCAAAGCCCTGGCATCGCGCAGTACCGGGGTGGGGAGAGGGTGGGCCTGGGCTCTCACTCCTATGCTTCTCCATGTTTTCCCTTTCCAACAGCAATGCCAATGCAGCAATTTTTCTGGAAACCTTGAAAATAAATTCTTGCCACCGTCTTTTTCTCATCGGGTGCTGGAGAGACTCAATACAGGATGCGCACGCTGAGGCCACGGGTGCTCCTGCGTGCTTCCCGTTCAGCCGAGGTAACCACCATGCACCTCTTCCCTGGGGGTCCCCCGTGCAAACCAGCACAGGCTGCTGCCACCTCACTCGTACGCCTGTATGTTCTACAAGGATTTCAGTATTTTGCTAAATGAAGCAAACGAAAGTTGATTCTGGCTTCTGGCAGCAGCAGCCCCGGTATCACTTTAGCAGCCACAGGCTGAACCTTTGCAAGGCAGAGTCAAGAGCCACGATGAGCGGCTGGGCTCCTCGGCCCATGCCAGGGTTCTGTAGGATTCCTCCTCCGCTCCATGGCCCCAGCCAGCCTGGGGACGCAACACGGCTTTGCAGCAGTGGTGTTATCCCAGGTTTCCTCTAAGTTATCTACTATTATATCTGACTCCGATGAATAATTAACGCAGACTACATCCTGAGCAGAGCTGGCTGGGAGCTGCAATTTTCCATTACTTGGGAAATCCTGACATTAGGGGAGAGATTGATTCTGTATTCCACATAAAAAGCTAGAATTGTCATGTTTGCCAAGAAACGTTCCCTTCCAGCAATGAATTTAGGGCCATTACCTTGTTTCACTTCAGTGACTCTTCATTATTCCTTTTATTCCCATGCATTTCTTAAATGATGCACTACATGCGCATGCATACAATCTACAAAGACAATATAATATTAAAATTTCCAGTCTACCTGGAAATTAATTTAAGTGACATGAAATTACGTGAAATTAATTTAAGTGACAGAACAGAATTAATTTAAGTGACAGAACAGAAACATTCTGCTTCTGCTGGAGTTTTGATACTCTCCAAACAAAATATTTCAACTTCTTTTTTTCTGCTGGAAGATGTTGTTGGAATCAGCACATTTCTACTACATGTCTCAAGTTCCATTAACCTGCTTTTTCGTACGGAAAGTTACACTGAGAATAATTTTTCAGTGGCTTTAATAACCAAGATACTCCCATCCTGCTCATCCCCAAAACACTCTCCCCCATCTTTTATTTGCTGAGATTAAAAAGCCGAGCCAACAGATACGCAACAAAGACAGAAACTGAGACCACATTTTTCCAACCTCGTGCTCCAACCCCAAAACTTTGCACAAAAAGGCTACCAAGAGGCTCACAGCAATTTCATCCCCATTCACTTCTCCGTGGGCTACTCTGGATTAAATAACTGACTTCTGCTAGGTTTGACAGGCAGAATCTCTACTTCTCTATACCAACAAAACATGCAGTCGGCCTTTTACGTGACTTGACTGTGCTGGATGCAACGTGATGAGAAACAGGTAGGTGTAGATATATAGAGAGATATACACACCCACAAGGTCTTCTGAATACTTTGATTCCATGAGGAGACGTGGAAAAAGAAGGGAATGCAGAAAAAGCACAGGCATGAGGAGGATTTACTGCACATTGGGATCCTGAGGATAAAACAGATGATGAAAGCCACCTCTGAACGGAGCGGGACCACAGACTAATTAGTTGCAGTGACTGGAAATCCCACTTCTGTTTACTCTACAGCACCTGGTGCTCAGCGCCCTCTCTGCCTTCAAAAGTTTTCCAGTAGCAAGTGCCACTTTCTTGGAAACACCTCATGGACGAGAGGGAAGGGCAAATCTTTTGAGGGCACCAGGAGGTATCGTGGTGCCTCCTTCAGGGCTCAGGTGGGCCCCCGGGGCTCATTTCTGTGGGGCAGCACAGCTCTCCCCTCCCCTGCCCTCTCCCATGAAGGCCCTAGCATCCCGCACCAACCAGGCCATCTTCCAACAACAAAAAAGCTCTTTTCTTCTAGCAACTATTGATATTTGGCACTCAGAGGGATACCTTTTTTTCACTGTCTCCAAACCAAGCTGCCTTTCAAGTGTATTTTACCCCTGGCAGCCCATTGCCCATGACCACAACATGAGTCTCATCTGCAACGAGAAGACCAACTTTCCATAAAAAGCAAGGATGACATTTCCAAAAGTACCTGTACAACAGCCGTGCATGGGATGGTGAAAGCCCCAAGGCAGCTCTGCACCCTCCCCTGGGCTACGCCGGGGGCAGACAGGGTTTTCCCAGAGGATGCCGGACCCCAGAGCCCTGCACCAAGCATCACCCAACCCACCAGGCACCAAGGGTGCAGGGATCAGCAGAGACATTGCATCGGGAACCTCTCACCAGCCAACACGCTACATGCTCTCCCGTGGGCTTGACAGCTCAGTAGTGACCTGTGTGTCTGTCTGTCAGCCTCAGCCACTTGTAAAGTTCCCTAATAGCAAAGTCCAGACATTGCACTTAAAAAAAAAAGAAAAAAATTACGTCAGGCTGCATTTGTCAGGGTCAGGTTGAGTGAAGCCAGGCCAGGCTGCTGCCTTCCAGGAGCAACCCATCCATCCATCCCACCGACATGTCCGCTCTGCCCCTTCCCCAGCCCTGGGAGATCTTCCTTCTCAGCCTGCAGCTAAAT